GGCACCTCGAGGCCGCTCCCCAAGCCGCTGCGGCCGCGGCAGCTGCAGGAGGTCGGCCGCCAGGGCTCGTCGGACAGCGGCATCGCCACGGGCAGCCACTCCTCCTACTCGGGCAGCTTCTCGTCCTGTGCCGGCAGCAGCCTGGACGTGTGGCGCGCAGGGGACGAGTTTGGCTCCCTGCTCAGCCTGCCGCCGGCGGCCGGGGTGCCCGAGCCCAGCCTGTGCACCTGCCCACCGGGGACAGCGGAGTACCAAGTGCCCACGGCCCTGCGGCACCATTATGACACGCCGCGCAGCCTGCGCCAGGCCCCCAGGGACCAGACCCTGGCCGCGCAGGGCGGCCCTGACGACGGTGGGGCCGGGGACTCGGGTGGCCAGATGTCCGCGGGGTGTCCCTCCGGCTGGCTGGGCGCGAGGCGGCGGGGACAGGCGACGGAGGCTCCGGGCTGCGAGGCCCCTGGCGAGGGCTGGGAAGCAGGCAGCCCCCACGCTGGGCCTCCTCCAGCTTTCTTTTCCACCTGTCCGGTCTGTGGAGGACTCAAGGTAAACCCCCCTCCCTGAGAGCCTCAGCCCAGGCCCGCTGGCGCGGGGGAGGGATGGGGGGCTGGGTTCTGTCCCTCCCGGCAGGAGGGGACGGGGTGCCCTTTGTGCTGTTGCTGAAGCCAGCGACTGTGGGCACAGTGGGGAGGGCATGGAGGGAGGAGTGACAGCCCCAGAGCCTGCCCTCTGGGGAGCGGAGCCTGCAGGGAGGGCCCCCAGGACTTGGAGAGGCCCAACGGCCTGCCGCTGAAATGCGTTCTGGAAAGTGGGAAGCTCTGGGTGGGGCAGGCTGGGGGCCCGTAGAGTCCCAAAGCCCGGGAGAGGATCAGGTGCTGGGGGCACAGGCGGGCGCTGTGTCCCAGCCGGCTCGTGCCAGGCCCTTGGGGTGATCAGGGCTGGGAGGCCCCTCGCTGGCCGCGGCCTCCTCCTGTTCCACTGCCTACCTGGTGGACGCCGTGCTTAACCTCTCAGATCCATCCCCTCCATTGTGCACAGTCAGGCCGTCCGCTAAAAATCAGCTTCCTCTGCAGCAGTTGCAGACCCGGATTCCCGGGACAGGTGTGCGGCACGGGGCGTGCAGGACAAGCTTTACCTGTCTGCCCCACGCCTCCTCTGTGAAGCAGCACCACAGGGGCCCATCTTACAGGGGAGGAAACTGAGGCTCAGGAGGTGCAGGGACTTGTGGGGTCTGGGTCTCCTGACTCGCAGACCTCCATGGCTCACCCACCAGCCTGTTCCAGAACCTGCAGGCTCCCGGGCGAGGGGTGGGCAGGGAGGGCCCGGCGGCAGCCCCCCGCCCCCCGGAGCAGGGAGCAAGGCGGTGATGTCCTTGATTGGCCAGCCCAGCAGGGTCAGCTTGCCAGGAGGCCCCTGTGAAGGCTCCGGAGGCTGCAGCTCACTCCCCTGCCACCCTCCTGGCTGAGCCGGAGCCTAGTGGTTGGGACCAGAGGAGGCCAGGGCTCCGAGGGCCCGTTCATTTGCATTTGGCGGCCCGTGGGCGGCCCAGGGGTAGAACTGCTTCCGGCGCCCTCCGTGGTCTGTCTGCTCGCCTGCATGGGGTGCAGCTGCCTTGCCTGGTTTTGTACCTTCGTTCTGCAGTCCGTGCACCCGCGAGAGGTGGGGCCCATGCCCGTGCGGTTCCGGACGCAGGCTGGCGCCGTCCTGCGCTGTGTGCAGTCAGCCCCCGGCCGGGGGGCAAGCAGCTCACCTGTAAAGATTTTGCTTTGTACCTTTACTGTTGGCTAAAGACCTTTGTCGCTCTCTGACATTTTTAAAATCTGACACTGTTTGTAATACATTCTTAGACTGGAAATAAAATGTTCTTTTCTTATCGTCTTGTCCTTTTCCATTTACCAGCCTCCCCGCCTCCCACCCCGGCCCTCCCGGGGGGCCTTTGACGGTCTCCAAAATCTGGGGGCCCAGCCCCCCAGCCTGTGGGTCTCAGGGGCCAGCATGAGGCCTCGCCTGTGTGGTCTGCCCTAAGCCCGAATGCACCAGAGGCCTGAAAAAGGAGCGGCAGCTCCCGACAGCCCGTGGGGCCTGTGTGCGTGCACGTGCACTTGCATGTGCGTGTCGCGTGTGATGTGTGCACGTGCGTGCATTGTGCACGGTGTGTGATGTGTGTCCATATGCCGCATACACTCACGTGTGTGCGCACGGTGTTTGTGCACATGTCTGATGAGTGTGCACACGTGTGTGCGTGTGGTGCGTGCACAGGAGTGTGCATTTGTGCACACGCATACGTTGGTGTGGTGTCTGTGCTTGCATGTGTGGTGTGTCTATGCATGCTGTGTGGACAAATGCACACGTGTGCACATGTGTGTGGTCTGAGTGATGCGTGTGCACACGTATGGATGGCATGCTCCCCTGTTCACTGGAGACCACGGGGAGGTCTCCGGTGGTCGCTTGGACGCAGGCAGGTGGCTCCCCGTGTCCAAGTGACGCCAGGGAGAGTCCTGCTCTGAGCCTGGAACCCCCACCCCCTCCCATCTCCCCCCTTTGGGTGGCAGAGCTCCAGGGACCCCAGCTCACGTCTCTTGCGCATCCCGGGGCCCACGCCCTGCCCTGTCACTCCCATTTTCACCCTTGCTCACCACCCTGCTGGGGGGCCAGCTCTGCACCCCCAGAGTTGGGGGCTCTGGGTGGGGTTCCTGTGCCCTGCAGTGTGAGGAAAGCCAGGCTTTGGGGGCTGAGCGGCAGCTGCCCCGTCAGCTGGGTGGCCTCAGGCAAGTTACTGCACCTCTCTGAGCCTCCGTTTCCTCCTGCATAGATGGGGACAATAGTCCTTACCTCCCCGGACACACGGAGAGGGTCTAATGAGGTGGTAGATGCACGTGGGCAGTAGATGTCTATTCACGGGATGCCGTCATTAGACCCGAGGCGCCCCGGCCAGTCTGGCTGCAAAGGAAATAAGGCTGTGAGCTCCAGCGCCACAGGCCGGGGGTGGGGGTGGTGTCTGCTCCTGCCGGGGCCCCTCGTTGTCTGGGCTCAGTCCTGCTGCACTTGCGTGGGTCCCCGGCCCCAGACAGCGGGGAGGGGGGCAGGCGTCTGCGACCAGAGCCCGCTGAGGCCCCAGCGACTGGTTTGCCCCCTCCCCGCCATGGGAAGCCAGGGAGGGCCAGGGCGGGGCGTTCTGCTGGCCCCTGCCCCTGGTGGGCATCCTGGCCATGGACTCCGTTCTCCTCGACCGAGGCTGACGAACGTCAGGGAAAGTCTGTCTGGGGGTAGGGCAGGGGGGACGGGCTGCGGCCACCCAGGTAGGTGTGGGTCTTGGCCGGAGGCGTGGCCGCGGCGCTGGGCTGGTCGGGGCTGGGCTGTCGCATGAAGTCCTCAGCAAGAGGAGGCAGGGGCCCACGGGAGTGGTCACTGACCACTGAGGCCCTCTGGGGGCTGTTGGTGGCCAAGGCATCTTGTGGGATGGCGTGGCTCCGGAGGAGGAGGGCCTGGCCCTCCACAGTGAGTGTGCCTCAGCTGTCCCTGCACCCCCGGGTGGCCCTGGGGATGGGGTCCGGGGCTCAGGGGCCCTGCCTGCTGGGGCCGGGCGCAACCAGAGTGGGCAGGCCCATGCCAGGAGTCCTTCCTCCTTGTCTCTCCAGGGCATGTGCAGCCCACTGGCCCAGACCTGGGGGTCAGGGGTCCTGGCCCCCTGCAAGGGGAAGGGGCAGATCTGCATCCCGCCCGCGCTCAGCGCTGGGTTTGATGCTGTGCCTGCAGGACTGGCCCCCGGAGGCAGGTGCGGTATGGGAGCGGCGTGGGCAGTTAGCGGCTGATGCATGGCTCCTGGCTGGCAGCTGGCCTCCCGTCGCAGGGTTGGAGGTCAGACATGCCCTGCCCAAGTCCCAGGCCCGCACAAGGGCTCCTTAACACAAGGTGACGTGTGAGACCAGCTCAGCCTGGCCCAGGCCCAGGGTCAGAGTGCTCTGTCTTGAGTCTGTGGCATCCAGCTATGTTCCCCGGAACAGGGTAGGGGTTTCTGCACCCCCATTCCAGTTCCCAGCTCCCCCTGAGGCCCTGCCACTGGCCTGCGATCCCCAGACCGCTGGGGGTGCTGGATCCTCTCCCGTCACTCGCCCTGGGCCCTGGCAAGGGCCTGTCCCTCGAGGGCTCTGGGAGGTCGAGGCCCAGGTGGCGATGAATGTGCTGGCCATGGGCCGCTGTCCCTCCCTCCTGGTCAGACCTTGCCCTCAGCTCTGAGGCCACCAAGGCCCCTCCCTCCCGTGGGTCCCTCTGCACTTGCAATCAGGCACCACAGTGAGGTCGTTCTGCAGTTGGGGGGACCCGGCTCATCCCCGTGGCCTCTGTGGGCTCTTCCACGGGTGCTGCTGGGAGTGGGCCGGCGGTGCCCAGGGGGTACCTGCTCCAGCCTCCGAGCACCTGGGGGCCGCGCCCCCTGCCGTGCAGCCGTGGATGAGAGGCCGGGGGCCGGTGGGATTGTATCCGTCCCAACAGGAAGGCCCAGACTTGGCCTGGGGGTCAGAGTTGCCCACCCCTCTCCCTAGAAGAGGGCGAGTGGGGGTCGGGGCTGGTGGGCCAGCTGGAGTCCTGGGACACGTGGGTAAGGGGCCCCTGGGAGATGAGGAGTCTGGGCTGGTGTTCCCTGGGGGTGGCCGGGCCCCCAGAGACCTGGCCACACCTGGGTCAGCGTCCTGGTTGTGAGGCTGGGGTGGGAGGAGCCGGCGCAGGATGGACAGACTGACGCGTGTTCTCTTTGGTCTAGGGAGCGGCTGCCTCAGCCCCTGGCCTGCTGATGATGCACTCAGGTAGGCCCCAGCTCGGGACAAGGGAAGTGGGGCGCGGTGGCTGCCCACGGCTCAGCCAGAAGCTCTGCAGCAGACAGGGAGGCAGGCGCTGGTGGACACCGGGAGGCCGTGGACGGAGGCTGACACGGGCACTGGGGGGGGGGGACAGTGTGCAGCCGCGAGGAGCCCTGGCCCGGGTGGGGCGGGTCCAGGCAGGGAGCTGAGGCCAGGGTGCGGCCAGCTTGCCCAGAGGGGTGTGTGGATGGAGTGGGTAGAGTCAGGCCGCCCTGAAGACTCGGGGTCTCCAAGGCCCAGTTAGAAGGTGAAGGCTGGCCAGAAGCTGGCCGTCACCCAGGGGAAGGCCTGGAGGGTTGGGGGAAGCTGAAGTTTGGGGAAGGTTAGATCCTCCATCCTTCTTCAGAGACGCATGACGCCTGTTGGGGCCGGACCCTGCAGGCTGACCCGGAGTGTACCTTTGGGGGCAGGAGGGTGCAGGCAGGGCTGGTGGCAAGCAGCGTCCACAGGAAAGGGCCACACCGGCTGGCTTTGGGGTTCCCTGGCTCGGGATAGGGCCCTGAGGACCACCCCCGACAACGCTATCCCCTGACACCCACTCCCAGACGGTCCTGGACACGTCCTCCTGCTGTCCACCCGCCTCCCCGTGGGGCCCTGTGGACATCTTTAACCCTGACAAGGGGTGGGGAGGGGATGCCTGCTGGAGGATACAGACCCTTTCCACTGAGGCCAGGGGCTGGGGGAAGTGGGGCCCGAGCTTGGCAAGGACAGAGATGAACCGGGCCCCAGATGGTGTGGCCTGAGCCCCGGTGATGGCGGCAGGAGAGGCCAGGGCCACGCTCATCCGTCCTCTTCTCTGTTCTGGAAGGGATTTGAGGCGGCTTCTAAGATGGCCATTCCATTTTGTGCTCTATCCCTTGGCACACGCCTCCTTCTCCAGGCAGCCTGCCCTGATTTTCTCTGGCCTCACTGGTCTAGGTGTCTCCCATGGGTGCCTCTGCCTGTCACCTCGGGTTACGTGGGAGAGGGTCTGCACTGGCCCCCTCCAGACCGGTTGAGGGAGAGTCCCACACTGCTGGGGTACAGATGGGTATACACAGCCCTCGTGGACACGGTGTGCCTGGGAGGGGAGCGGGCCCTGCCAAGGCTGCCCGTCCACTGGGAGGCGGCTCCCTGCTCTGTGATACATTCTGTGGCCACAAATGCAGCCGGTCTACAGAACCCCTCATCTCGCAGCTGAGATTCTTTGGGGATTGAAAACAGCCCATCGTTGGCTTGAGAAGCTCGCAGGACGCTCTCCGAGCTGCCCGTCAGAGCGTGCCCTGCGGCATGACCTGCCTCTGCCCCCGTGCACCCAGGCACCCAGAGTCCTAAGCCTGGCTTGGAAGCTGAGTGTCCAGAGGGCCCCCCACCCCATGCTCCTTGGAATCAACACGCCTGTTTCCCCAAACCTGGAAGGTGGTCCCCTGTGTCCAGCAGAAGCCTGCTGCCTTCCCTCCTTGAGGACGCGTGTGTCTGATGCTCCGGCCCCTCCCTCCCTCCTTCCCTCTATAGCAGGGCCTCGGGAGGGGCGGGGCGGGGCGGGGCGCTGCGAGTCCTCTTCATCTGGGACCAGTCCTGGCTCTGAGTCTCCCGGACCCCCGCTCCCCGCGTGCAGGCCTCCCCTGGGGTCTGGAGGGCCTCGGGCACCTGTGTTCCGTATTCGTATCAGTAAGTGGGCGCGGCATCCTGAGGGGGTCCCATCCTGCAGGGACCATGCATTGCAAGGAGGGGGGTGTCTCTCAGGGCCTCCAGGCCGGGAGGGGCAGGAACCCTGTGACTTGCTTTGGTTCATGGAATCAGGTGGGGGCACCTACACGGCTGGGCCCAGTCGGCTCTGTGGGCCTCGGTCTGTTCCTGGCCGAGCTCAGGGCCTCTGGGGCCTCCACCCCGCTGGGAGCAAGCCGGCAGTCTGGTGCCTCCCACCCCGGGCCTTGCTGGGGCGGCTAAAGGGCACGAGGGTGAAAGGCACCCATGCGGTGTGGACCTTCAGAAGGCGCCCTGTGGCAGCAGGTGCCGTGTGGTGGGATGGGGCCCTGAGCGAGACGGGCTGCCTGCTGAAGCCCCCAGCCCTGGGCCTGGCTCCCTCGACCTGTGAGCAGGCGGCTCAGACAGGGTGTCCTGAGCGGCTTCAACCCTCTGCCTGCTCCCACCCCCCTTGATTCTGAGGAGTAGAGAGCGGCTGCCCCCCGTGTGACTGTGGCCCAGGGGTCCCTGAGGGTAGGCGTATGGGGGAGTCTGCTGGAGAACAGCCAGGTTGGTCCTTCCTTGAGGCCTGGTGTGCAGGGCTCCTGGGCCAGTGGGGAAGGGTGGGTCGGCTGTGCGTCCTTGCAGCCCGAGAAGGATCCCTCCGGTGCCCTGGCTGTGGCTATACCTGCCCCACACTGAGGGGGTATAGAGTGACATCTGCTGCTAGGACATCGGGGAGGAGCAGGGGAGCATTTCTTGGATGGGGGAGGACTCGAAGTGCCTGGGGCCATCCTGGAGGAGGTGTCACTGTGGATGGAAGTGCGGGCCTGCACTCGCAGGGGAGGGGTTTTCTGGGGAGACTCACTGGTCCAGAGAGGGTCCCTGAAGCCTGGAGCCGCGGTGGGGGTGGGCGGTGACCCAGGAGGACAGCCAAGGGGGTGGAGGGCAGGGGGCAGGGGCTGAAGAGAGGGCAGTGTGGCCACCTGGCCGCAGGCCACGGGGGCATCCAAGGGGGCGGCTCAGCAGTGATCAGCCCGCGGCATCGGGGAGAGGAGCACACCCTTTCTAGAAGCTCACTGGTGAAGGGTGGCGAAGGGTGGTGCTGGGTCTGGGAGGGGGAGCGGGTGGGTCTCAGGATGGGCGGTGCTGGGCCAGGGGAACCGGGGAGTCGGGGGCCCGGGGGGCTCCCAGGCCCTGGCCAGGCGCAGGGTGGGAGGCATGCCAGACGGCGTGGGCGCAGAGTTCTTTGCCCCTGGAGACTCACTGTCGTTGCCCCCGCAGGAGCCCCAGGGCCCGAGAGACCGTGCAGCGAGGCGCCCCCCTACGTGAACATCCCTGTCAGCCCCTCCTCCAAAACGCAGCTGCACTACATGGGCCTGGAGCTCCAGGGGGCCAGCGCAGGGATCCGAGGTGGGTCCCCACGTGGGGGCCTTCCCCTCCCCGGGCGCCTCAGGCCGCCGCAGGGGAGGGGGCTTCCTCCCCCTCCCGGGTCCCCCCCAGTCCATGCTCTTGCTGAGCTGTGTCCCGAGGGTGTGGCCCCACCTTCCTCCCAGCTTAGCAACGCCCCCAAGCTCAGGTCCTGGATCCCATCACCTCTTCCAGGCCGAGGCCTCTGCGGGAGGCATGGGCCACGCGGGGCTTCCTGGAGGCGGGGGGCGGGGGGCGGCCGGGCCAGCTCACCCGGGGCTGCTTCCAGGGGCTGGCGCCTCCCGCTATGCACAGATCGACATCACGGCTACCGAGGCGGCCCACAGGGTGGGGGCCCAGCATGCACAGAGCCGGGAGGAGCGGCTGCCGGAGCTGGAGCGGAGGAGGAAGGGCGCCCTACGGTGAGGACACCCCCTGCCATGACGGGGCAGCTCACTGAGCCGGAGTCACTTCTGCTGGCCGCGGCCGAGGGCACCAGGGAGCCCACCAGCTTTGCTGCATCCCGGGCGGTCTGGGCCCTGTGACTGGGGCCTCCTGGCTGCAAGGTGGCCATGGCTGGTCCCCACGCCTTCCCCGCCCCACTGGTCACTGCTGCCCAGACCTGACCCTTCCTTTGGCCTCCATGAGTCACGCGGGACCTCCGGCAAGTCGGGGGGAGCCACGCGTCCAGGCGTCAGGCAGCTTGCAGTTGGTCCCCTGAGACAGAGCAGCATGTCGCTGCAGGTGCCCTGGGGGCATTGGACAGCAATGTCCACGGCTCTGGGATGCAAAGCGCCCTCCCCTTCCCTGGAGGTGGTGGCCCCCCAGCTGAGGCCAGGCATGCCCTTGGGAAACAGGGCCCCAAACCACAGCAAGGCCGGACCAGGTCCCACCTCTGCCGAGCGTCCTGCAGCCGCCTCCGGCTGTCCCACGCCTGGGTCACCACTGCCCTGTGCCTGGGGACCCTGCCGCCCAGGAGCCCTGGGGGCGGCGGGGCTGTTCCCCCTTCAGACCCACCAGGCTCCTAGTGTGGCCCCACACACGTTTACCTGACTGCGTTGCTTCTTAGGACCCATTACTGTTGGTCGTGCAGATAGTTAAAAATCGTTAATGTTCTATTTTTAACATGCACATTATTTTCCTGAAGGATGAGGTGCTTTCTCTTTCTTGGGCTGTGGCTTTGCCTGACCCTGGACACGGCTCTGTTGTCTTGACACAGCTCAGGCGCTCAGGTGCCGGGTTATCCCCACCTTGGTGGGTCTGGGCGGGGTTTCCCTGTTTCCTCCCAACGGTGCCTGTGGCCTTGGGGAAGTTTTGTGGCATTTTCATGACTCAGTTAGCAGGAGGGAATGGTCATGGCTCCACTGGCTGATGGGTGTCTGGGTCGCTGGGAAGTTTCCAGAGTTGGTGGGGGGGCTTCCTGACATTCCTCCCTAGTCATGAAAGGGAAGCATTGGGTTGGGCCTTCTGACCCTGGTCTCATAGAGGAAATGGGGCTCTGATCTGCCTGCCTGGGGTCTCCAACCATAGCCTATTCAGACACCTTCTTCCCGCCCTTTCTCCCTCCCATCCACCCACCATCCATCTACCACCCACCATCTATTTGCCATCCATCCACTATCCACCCATCCATCTATCCCCCATCTGTCATCCGCCCACCACCCATCCTCCGTCCACCCATCAACCATCATCCATCCACTGTCCATCTGCCATCCATCCATCATCCATCTGCCATCCATCTATCCATTACCCATTCACCATCCATTGTCCACCATCCATCCACCATCTACCATCCACCACTCATCTATCATCCATCCATCATCAATTCATCACCCATCCACCATCCATCGTCCACCAACCATCCACCACCCATCATCCATCCACCATCCATCCACATCCCTCTCCCACCCCACCCCGATCCACTAAGGACCCAGTGAGTCTGAGGCTACTGTAAGTGGTTGACACTCATGTTCTCCTCCTCAGCTGAGATCCCTCAGGTTGATGGGTTTCAGAGCACCAGCACCCTTTTCCTTGCCTCATCTTCTGAGCTGACACCTGACTATTGGGGAAGCTTGCGAGGCAAGGCAGAAGTAGGCCCAGTCCTGAGCCTCTGGGATGCAAAGGCCTCAGGGTTGATCCTGCAAGCAAGTCAGATTCTAAGCCTAAAAGGCCCCCACTAGCATGCCCTGGACAAGATTCTGGGGTAGTCAGACTTCCCTTTTAAATTACAAGGGGGGAGCAAAGCATGGGCTGCACACCCCAGTCCAGGGTTCCAGTAGTGAGCGGTTGCCCTCTGGGTGGGAGGGGGCTCAGATGTCCATGCACACCAACTCTGGATAGGCAACTTGGGGTTCTGGGCCTTACCAGTGACCTTGAGCGGCTGGCATCTGGGGTCTCTTGTTTTCAAAATGAAATAAGGCTGCTGTGTTTTTGTAAGACTGAAACAGGGTTCCGGATGTATTAGGCATTCATGAAGAATAGCTCCCCGAGGGGCTCAGCAGGCCTGGCCCAGGCCACCACAAGCATCTGGTGCTTTGGCCGTGGAGGGCGGCCCCCTCCAGCGCAGGAGGCCCCGGGGGCGCTGGGCTCGGCCAGCTGTAGTCAGCTGTAGCAGCCACCCAGGCAGTGCGGGACAGCCCCCTGTCCTTCCTCCAGAGCTGGGAAGGGCGGCACAGCGCCACCCGGGGGCCGTTGGGCAAAGCTGTTACAGCTGCCACAAGGGGACGGCCACGTGGCACGGTGTGGCTGTGGAGGAAGGTTTTAGGGACCCTGTGGAACGGAACACAAGTTCCACCTGCCTGATGCGCAGCAGAGACATGGAGTTTGCAGCAAGAAAAGGGTTTATTCAAGGGGCAGCCAGAGGAGGAGACGGGGGTAGGGGGAAGGGGGTGCAGAGGGGAAAGGGGGTGGGGGCGGGGGGCAAGCCTCACATCCGCCTCCTCAAAGGGGAGTCTGGGAAATTGGGGAAATGTGAAGGTGAAGGAAAAGGTCTGGGTGACAGGTTGCAGCTGGGATCAGTCCTATTAACGCTTCGGTTACCAGTTTCACCCGGCCCTCGACTTGCGCCCAGGAAGGGCTCCCCGCCTTTGCCGAGAGGTAAGAGGTGCCCCGGCCAGGACCCCTGCAACCTACCCTGCACCACCGCCCTTCCCTACCTCCGCCTCTGCCCCCAAGGGCCCTCCTTGGGCGGCCGCACCGCACACACGGCTGGAGGCCGGGGGCCCCCAGAGACAGGGTTGGATTGAGTATCTGAATTCTGGAATATCAGCCTAGACGCTTCAGGGACTGCGCCACCCAGGTGCCCCATCCCGCGCCATTCTTGATTCTGAGTCCCGACCTCTCTTCCTGCGACACTTGGAACCCGGTCTCTGCCTCCATCGCCTTTAAATCTTGTAGTTATTACTTTCGTCTCTTACCGGGGCCTTTTGTTCTGTGAAGTTGCTCTTCACTTGCAGGGGCTTTTCTTGGACATTTTGACGTCTCCTCTCTGGCCTCTCCTGGGTCCTGCTCCGACCGCTGAACCACCAGCTTGCCCTTGGAGTTCGTGTATGATTTTCCCTTTCTTCTTGTGGTTCCTTGTGTGATTTCCTCCACGTTGATGTCTTAGTCTTCGGGGGTTGCACTTCTGCCATCAGACGTTCATTCCCGAGCTCGTTGCGGCTTCTTACGGCGCCCCGTCCTTGCTTGGACGCGCTTTTATCTCTCGGAGGAGTTTCTTACTTACAAACAGAAAGCCACACAAACCTTACGTGCATGGCTTGACACGCTTTCACACATGGATGACCCATGTCACCACTGTCCACGAGCAGAGGGCATTGCCCATCACAGACCTTCCTTCCGGCCCTTTGGAGGCAACGCCCACCGTGCCAGGGGACCACTGTTTTGATCGCCATCCCTAGCAACTAATTCTGTCTCTTTTACAGTTCGCTTCTTTGGCTCAGAATGTTGAGATTCTCCAACAATGCAGATGACTCTGCACCCATTCCATTACACAAACATACCAGAATTTTTTGTCTATTCTGTGAGTGAACATTTAGCTTGTTTCTGGTTGTGAATGAGATGAAGCTGAACATGGATTGGACAGTTTTCTTGTGTTGGGCCTTCTGTGGCCACACACCCTCCACTCCCCTGGAAACACGTGTGATCAGAGGAGGAACTGCAGGGCACAGGTGAGCAAATGTTTACAAAGAAACTGCCAACATTTTGCACAGCAGCTTTACCATTTTGCACATTCCCCCAGCAACAGGAGCGTTCCAGTACGTGCCCATCCTCAGCCAACCCTTGGTAGGGGCCTATTTTGAATCATCCTCATGGGTGTGGAGTGCTGGCTCATTATAGTCATTTGCATTTTTCTGATGACTAATGATGCTGAGCACCTTCTCATGTGCTCATTGGCCATTTGGAGGCCTTCTTCAGTGAAAAGCCTGTTTAATTCCCGTGTCCATTAGAAGCCTGGGTTGTAGAATTTTGGGTCTGAGCCTTGTCTCAGACGCAGGCTTTGTGACCGCTCCTCATTCTCCAGTTGGTTGGTTTACTTTCTTAATGATACATCTTGACGAGAAGTTTCTGATTTTGAGGAAATGCAATCTTTGTTCCTCTATCATTGATGGTTGGAGCCTTTTGTGGCCTGTTTTAGATGTCTCTGTCTACCCTCTGGTCGGAAAGATGCTCTCCTGTTTTCTAGAAGCTTTACAATTTTAGCTTTCACGTGTAGGTCTATGAATCACTGTAAATTACTTTTTGAATGTGGTGTGAGGTCCACTTTCCCCCCAAACCTAACAAGTTGCTCCAACTCCATTTACCGAAGAGAATTTCTCTCCTCAAACTATAAGTTTCTAGTTCTTTCCTCCAGAATTTAGAGGTTCTATTTGGTTCTTCGAATCTGTTACGTGATTCTCTTGCTTCCTGTTCTTGGAAACTGTTTTTTGAGTTTGTCCTGTATTCTGTAAACACTGAGCGGGACTGCTCTATCATGTGTAACAGTCGTCACTGGTCCCTCTGATCTCTCGTGTCTTCGTGGGGCTGCTTGAGCTGTGACCCTTGCGTTCTCACTCATGGGGTCTTGCTGTCTTCTGTGCCTGGTTATTTTCAAAGTCAGTTTGTGAACATTTATGCTTGGGTTTGTTTGAGAAGGATGACAATTTCTTCCAGAGAGGGGTCTTTCACTTCTGCCAATCCAGAAGCACCAGAACCACTGTTTGTGGCCTGAGGCCCAGGGCCAAGTTATGGGGGCTGGCCCTCTTGTCTCCACCCTCTCTGCCAGGAGCCAGCCAGACCCCCTTTCCTGGGGCAGGGGAAGGGGTCCAGGTTCATAGGGAGGCTCTCCCTTTAGACACCCACCTTATACCAGCCTGTGGCCCTGAACCCAGGGTGCCTGGATGGCCATGTTCTTGGGGTGATGCGCAGTCTCACACTGCACAGCCTTCCTGGGCTCCTGTGGTCCCTTTTGCCTTTGGTCATACCTTCGCAGGCTCAGATTTCCACTGCTCTTCAGGAGAGGGGTGTAATCCCCAGTGCAGGGGCTCCTTTAAGTGAGTTAATCCCTGGAGTCGGAAACCCCCTTGTTCTTTCCTGTCGAGTGCATCTGTGGTTGCACATTTCCCCCAGAAGCTCCCCCTGACCACAGCCCCCAAAACTGGTGTGTAGTATTTCCACTAGCATTCAATTAAAAGTATTTTCTAACTTCTAATGTCATTTCTTCTTTGGTCCATGTGTATTTTTAAAGTTCCTGAATATACTTTTTTTACAAAAAGATTTTATTTATTTGAAAGAGTGAGTGAGTGAAAGAGAGCATGAGCTGGGGGAGGGGCAGAGGGAGAAGCAGAGGGAGCAGCAGACCCTCCACTGAGCGAGGAGCCCAGGATCATGACCTGAGCTGAAGGCAGACGCTTAACAGACTGAGCCACCCAGGCGCCCCTAAAGTTCCTGAATATACTTATTTTAGTTGTCTTTTCATTACCGAGTCCCTCCTTGGTTGCAATAAGGTTAAAGAATGTGATCCATATCATCTAACCTTGCTGCTGAGTTACTGGAATTTGCTTTGTGCCCTGGGCCAGTCAGCTT